ATCTTCCTTATGCAAATTAATATGAAATGAAAGTTTCTTTAGCACTGTTAATGTTTATCAAGATCTTACAGACGAAAACTAATTACGAATTCATCGGAGTTAAGGGATTTACTCGCACAAGGTTACTATCAACCCCAAAGTAATTGCCTTGGGTGAGGCCAATGCACCCTCGTCAAACGAAATGAAATGTATGACAATCCTGCAGTTATTTAGTGTGACTAGGCTTTCCACTTCATTTTACTTTCCTTCATGGACAAAGTTGTATATATGTGAATAAAAGCATAGATAGGCCTAGCCCTTTTCATGATTTATTTATGAAATGCTCCAGCAGTCTGAAGATGTATATTTTGTGATAGATTGAAACTCATGGTAGACTAAATAGTCAAGGAAAAATGTATACGCAAGACTACACTAAGAGATACTATTAAATAAAGAAGAACCAAGTGAAATCTAAAAGCATCATCCAGGAGAACTTCTGCCAAAGATAAAATGAAAACATCAATATTCTGAACAGTAAAGATCATTCAGATCCCAGGCTAGTGCACCTTATGATTCTAAGCCAAACTCAAGTCCCCTTATCGGCACACGTTCCCACAGTAGATGTAAAGTGATAGAATGTAGACGCCAAGAATGTATAATAATCCTGATCAAGAATCCAGTAAGATGAAGATGAAAGTGACGGTAACAAGAGGGGGTGCGAAGGTGAATGTAGGTGAGTTTCGCCCATATGAAGCGGACACGAAGGGATGGTAGACAAAGTACAATATAAAAAATCAACAAAGACAAAAATAAAATATAGCCTAATAGTTGTTGCGTGTTTATCTCAATAATTAAGGCTATTATTCAAGATCGATCTTAGACAGATAGATATCATAAAAAGAGAATAAAAGAAACGACAACAATCCTGATTATATTTAAAGAACTGAAGATGAAAAATACCTGATAAGGGTGCTTCTGCATTTTCTACAATTGTTGTGACTTTAATTTGTAGAAAGGCAAGTTTTTTAGCTTTAAAAGACCAGCTGACAGAGGAAAGATTGGTCTGATTCTGGATTCGTCCATTCAAAGTTTCTAATGAAAATTCGTAAGCCGGCTTGCTTAGACGTACGGAAAAATGATTGCGAATGTCAAATTTAAAATCCCTAGTATCAGGAGGTAGAGCGCCAATGGCCAGTGGTATCGGTCCAGCCTGAAAGTTACCAAGAGCATCCGTAGTAGTCTCAGAAATAGGGATAAGCCCATTTTCAGAATCGTTGTAGGCTATATTATCTTCGATATTTACGCTGGGATACGAGGAGTCTATTGAGTCCTGTTTTCCTAATATCACAACTTGAACCTGGAAAAAATTGAAAGTAAAAAATTCTAGATAAGGATCTCAAATAAGCTGTTGCAAACATATAAAAAGTATAAGGGAAAAGTGTATATTTGCCGTTTTAATATGTATGCTAAATAAATAAGGAGTGAAATAATAGAAGAAATTCAAAATAGAGGTTGGGGACACTAACCGACAATTTTAATCTTACCATCTATCAGAAACGATCTGTAGTCTAAGAAAAATAAAATATTTAAGAGATAATCATTCTCCCATATGATTTGTAGAAAGCTAAATCCTTCTGTCATAAGACAATGCACTGAAAAAAGATCACAAAAATAATAGGGATTC